TCTAGAAGGGAACACTCTAAAGACGTAGGTTCTGGAGCACAAGCTTCTAAATATGATCATGTTTCTGGTAAAAGTCATGATTATGAAAGTGGAACTTCTGAAGGCAGAGGTGATCCAACTTTTGAAGATGGTATTTCTGAAGGTAGTGGCTCTGACTCTGATGGTGATCCAGACTCTGAAGTCAATCAAGGTTCTGGAGAAAGTCCAATTGCTGAAGCAAGTGCTTCTGAAGGGGAAAGTTCTGGTGTCCAAAGTTCTGAAGGTCCAGTTCAGAGGCAATAAAGAGTCGGAAGCATCCCAAGAAGATTTACAAAGTTTGACATGTTGCTAGGCACTGAAGTAAACTCTGAATGAGAAGTTATTCATTGTACAATGTTAGTAGACTCTAAACCCGTGAATACGAAAGAGGCTCTTAAGCATAAAGTTTGGTTACAGGCCATGAAAGAAGAACTTGATGCTATAGAGAGAAACAATACTTGGAAGCTGACATAACTTCCAAAAGGAAAGAAAGTCATCAGCGTCAGATGGGTTTTCAAGCAGAAGCTAAAGCCAGATGGATCAATTGGAAAACACAAAGCGAGATTAGTAGCAAGAGGCTTCCTACAGAAGCCTGGGCTGGATTACTTTGAAGTGTTTGCACCTGTAGCGAGACATGAAATAATCAGACTAGTGATTGCAATAGCTGCTAACAGGAATTGGCCTCTGATGCATTTAGATGTAAAATATGCATTTCTGAATGGTCCATTACAAGAAGAGGTGTACGTTTTATAACCTCTTGGATTTGAGAAAAATAATCAGGAAGGGATGGTGTTCAAATTACACAAAGCATTATATGGATTGAAGCAAGCGCCCAGAGCTTGGAATTTGAAGATTGATTCGTTTTTCAAGAAACAAGGGTTTCAGAAGTGTGAGATAGAGTATGGTGTTTATGCTCAGCACACTTTAGAAGATAATATGATTCTGGTCTGTTTGTACGTTGATGACATACTACTTACAGGAAAATCTGAACAAGAGATAGTTGAGTTCAAGAAAGTTCTGATGAATGCATTTGAGATGACAAATCTTGGAAAAATTAGTTTCTAGGGATGGAATTTATGTACTCTGAGAAAGGAATCATTTTACATCAGATGAAGTATGAACTAGAGCTTCTGAAGAGATTTAAGCTAGAAAATTGCAAGGTTGCTATCACACCTGCTGATACGAATCAGGAGTTGGACTCTGATTCTGATGGAGAGGATGTGAATGCTACAACCTTCAAATAGATGGTTGGTTCTCTAAGGTATTTGTGTAATACCAGACCTGATATTTTCTATGCAGTTGAAATGGTTAGCAGATTTATGAGCAAATCAAAGTGGTCCCATTACCAAGCTGCAGTCAGGATTCTAAGGTATGTGAAGGGAACTCTGAAATATGGAGTGTTATTTTCGTCTGAAAGAAAGATCGAATCAGAACTTCTGAGTTATTCTGATTGGTGTGGAGATAGAGTTGACAGAAGAAGTACTTCTGATACTTATTCAAATTTTTGGGAGGTCTTATTTCTTGGTGTTCCAAGAAGCATCCTGTTGTTGCTCTGTTAACTTGTGAAGCCGAATATATTGCAGGTGCTCTGATTGCATGTCAAGCTGTATGGATTCTGAACTTGCTAAAAGATCTGAAAATTGAGGTAAATAAACCTCTGAAGCTGATGATTGATAACAAGTCTGCAAGCAATCTTGCCAAGAATCCAGTGTTTTATGGGAGAAACAAGCATATTGAGACCAAATATCATTTTCTGAGGAATCAAGTTCATAATGGAATATTAGAGGTTGTGCACTGTAGCACTCAGAATCAGCTGACAGATGTTCTGAAAAGGCTATCAAAACTGATCAATTTCTTGGTTTAAGGGATAGAATTGGTGTTGTCAGTTTTGGGTAAATATAAATTAAGGGATGGTGTTAGAATTAATTTAGATTTAATTAGATATTAATTTATATTTAAGAATATATTTTAGATTGTTTATATCTTTGTAGAAGATATATTTTAGATTTAATTTTGTGTATAAATAGCCTAGTGGAGTAGGTTATTGTAATTCATTGTAAATCCTTATTTTGAAGCTATCAGTAAATATTTCTTTTGCCTTTTATCTTCCTTGTGCACCACCAGATGGGAACTGAAGTGGATGTATCTTTGAGAGAATTTGAGGTTTTCTTTTACCATTGTGACAAGATGAAGTGTTGTTCTAAAAGGAATATCATAGCGGTGATTTGGCGTTTAATTTTGACTAGTGTTTTTCGGAGATTTTGCTGAGGGCGTGGAAGTGGTTATGCTCCTATTGTAAAAAAAGTTGATTTATGTAACTTTTATTTTTGAAATACTCTACCTCTCCTCTGTTTTAGGATGTAAGGGTTTTTCGAATTGTATCTCCGGACAGAGTATCCCTTATACTCTCTTTAATAGAATCATTACCTATTAAAAAAATATATAACAATTTAATTACAAATTTTGTACAAAAATATTTAGTCAAATATTTATTACAATCCAAATTACTAATTTCTAAATATATTTTAAAATAATCTTTTGACTCAGATATTTAAAAAACTAACTAAAAAAATCTCTAAAATTCTCAATTGAAAATTGGGTTAAATAAGTATTTGATCCATCTAAATATCTCAAATTTCGTTTTTAGTCATTTTAAAATTTTTCTTTAAAGAATGTTCCTCCTAAAAAATTAAATTTTATCTTTTGATCTCTCTTGTAATTTAGCAACAATTTTTATTTAACGGTGGAATTAGAGACCGTTTATCTACGATTTTATCAGGAGAGATCAAAAGTTAAAATTTAATTTTTTAGGAAGAACATTCTTTAAAGGAAAAACTAAAAATGAAATTATAGATATTTAGAGAGATTAAAAACTTATTTAACTTATAAAAATTTTAATTAGTAAAAAGAATCTTATGAAACTTTAAGAAAATCTTAAGTTTAAATACTTAAATCCCTAAAATAAGATTTTATTTTTATTAAAGGCAACTTATTGAAGAAGAATAGAAAAAAAAAAGAAATCGGACATATAAACAAAAATTGCTTTCTAAAGGAAATTTAAAAAGCACCTTTTAACTTAATTAGTAAGAAAACATATAAAAGAAATGTTCCAAAATTCTTGAATGAGACTTTAACCAACAATAGGCAAAGCCTTGCAAAAGTTTTTTTGAAATTCTTGATTGAGTGAGATGGTTGATATATGTATTTTAAATAAAAAATCTTTTAAAAATCTATATTTTTAAATAATACAAAATATTTTATAAGTTTTGAAAAATAACAGTTAAATACCACTGATATTGTGTCACTAAAAAAATTGTGATAGTATTAATTGAATACTACAAAATATATTTTAACTAGAGTAAGACTCACGCAATGTACGGGATATTAATGAATTTTTTCAAGTCATATTAAATTATAGAAATTTTAATTTTATTTAATATAAATATGGTATATTAGAGATGGTAAGATGAAGAAGATAAAAAAGAGAGCATAATTTTAAACAAAATATATATATCTTAATTATAGAAATAATAAATAAGACGGTGAAATTTAATTTTGAAATCTTAAATAAATGGAAAATAATTTCAATAATTTATTTTTATATTTTTTCAACATTTCTAAAAATGTCAAAGCTTTATCATTTGATAGGTGAAAGACATTCTATATTCAAATGTCTCAAACTCTATGTAATTAATATCACATTCTTTTATTTTTCCAACATTTCTAAAAATGTTAAATGTTTATGATTTTATAGATGAACGATATGCTACATTCAAACGTCCCTGATTTTATGTAATCAATTATCATAATCAACATTAAGATCTAAAAAAAAAAATCTCTATTTTTAAAAGAATGCAGTTTTAATTTTTCATGTTATTCCTAACGACAAATAAATATGTCTAATAGCTATTGTTGAATATCAAATAGTTTAGTTAAGATGGAATGAATTACCTTATTAAACCATATAATCTTTTATGTTTTAATTTTTTCTAAATCTTTGCTGAATTTGACTCAACCGAATTTTGTGAAATAATAAAAATTGATTTTTAGAGTAATTCTTTCAATAATTTTAATGTAATTTTTTAAAAATTGTTTACAAATTCCTATGTATTTATATTATTTTATGTAAATATTTTAAGTTTGATACTTTATTTTGTTTTATTTTATATCTTAATGTAATATCTAAATTTTTGCAAGTAGTCAATTACTTAATTAATCTGGTATTATACTTTTATTTGAAACAAGATATGTATAAGTGTTACATGGTTAATTATTATTAAAATCTATATAATATGTAATTTAGTAAACTACATATTTTATATATTTAGTCAAAAATATATACTTTTCATTTATCATATTGTATTTTATAGATATTAATTATGATTAATTTTCGTAACAGTGAACCAAATAATGGCTATATAAATTTTGAAGGATGCCAATATAAATAATGGTATGATAAATGTATTTAATAATAATAATAATGACTATAATTGTTTGAATTCATTCATATATTTAATTTTACTAAAATATGTAACAATAATCTAAGTTAACATTGCTTTGTATCATAAGTTGTTTAGTTGTTAAAATATTAGAGATTTTATTTGATGGTTTGGTTTTAATATATTATATAGATATAGATATAGATTTTATAAAAATATTTAAGAAATATCATAATCTTTTAAAATCCTTTAAAATCTCAATAAAAAAACCATCTAAAATCTAAACTAGGGTTTCACCTACACATAACAAAAACAAAATTAGGTTTCCATTCCTTAGCTATAGGCGTCTAGTTAGAACTTACAAACACAAATAGTTAGAATTTAGCCTTCTCTCTTAACCTCATCTCACATCTTCGTCAAATCAAATGGTATGTGCCTCCTCTCCCTCTATAATCTTCTCTTCATTTATATTTTTTTGTTTGGAATTTGAATGAATAAAATTGAATTAGTATTTTCTTAATTACAATTTTTTTTTCATTGGCAATGAAGGATTGCGGTGATAATGGTGGTCGTGAATTTCAAGATAAGTATTATGAGTTGTTAAAAGTGATGAAGGAAATAAGAATTGATCCAGAAGATGAGCTTTCAAAATTGATGACCGATTTCAAGATTCTAAGAATTGATACAAGAGAAAAAGAAGAGGAAGTTGTGGTGGAGGAGCAGTTTAAAAAGTTTACAGATATAAAGTTGAAAGTCAACAAGATGCATAAATTATATGAAGATTTGAAGTTATTATTCAATTCCTTATCGCCTAATGATGAACTGTACCAGGGAGTGCTTGACATTATTAATTATTTTGAGTCCAAAATGTACCAGGGAATATTTGATAGTATTAGTGAATTAGAGTTCATGTTTCAACTAATTTTTGACAATTTTGAGAAGAAGAACTAAGTAATTAGGGTTCATATACTATTATGTTTTAGGGCTTTATTTACGGTCGATAATACTTTTTAATAAAGTGTGTGGTCTTTTATTCATAATGATTAGCGTTGTATACTTTATTTTGATGTTCCTTTTAGAATATTTATCAACTGTCTGAGTATTATTTTCGTTCTAGCTTTTGAGAATAACTTAGTGCAAGGAAAGATTTACATCCTTGAAGACGTTAATATGTAAATCAAGTTACAAATGAAGACTGACTCTGTCCACCAGTTAATTTATATACAAAATTTGTTGTTTATTATATCTGCATTAGAATGGCTAGGTTTAGTTGGTATGAAGTTGTTTAAACACTACTACAGTAAACACAAACAATAATGGTTGTGAAACACATATAATGACAGTAGTATGTCTGTTGTTAGGTAGTGTGTGATTGTATGTATGCTGATTACCACAACAGACGTGTGACCATTGTTATAAATTAGATAGCGTGTTATTTATAACTACGGTTGTAGGAAGCAACTATTATAAAATATTATTTCTGAATAATTTTCAATCTATCATACCAGAAACAACAATACACCCAATTGTAAATTGAATATCAAAACTTGTATTACATCAATGACACAATTCTATTAGGAACCAACAACCTACAATATACACATCATTACATCAAATTACGCTATCAAAACTTTCAAAGAAGTGAATAAGAAATTTGAAAAGACAAAGAGATGTAATCATTCAAGAGCTCGAGGTTGTCAATCAAAAGATATTTTAAACTTTCAAGAGAAGAAAACATAGAGAAATAAAGAAGCAATAATGAGCAAACTCGACATGTATGAAATATTTTGGCTTTTAGACTTTCAAGATCAGAGAAGAGGAAGAATCATCAAACCAATATAAAAGTAAAATTCCTCTTTGAATCAAAATACAAAAATAACTTCATCCAAAGAAATCCGAGAAGCAGAAGAATCAAATTGAGTACTTCTGTTGAAACTTTCAACAATGTTCATAGAAAATAAGTTATTGTTGCAGTAGAGGTCCAAGAAGAGGTCCAAGTCGTTGCAAGAGGCCCTGCTACCGAATCTTTGAGGCCCAGGAGAGCTTTCAGGAAGATGAGATCAAGAAGAAGAAGGGTGAAAAGGCTAGTCATCGTCGATTCTGATGATGATGATGATGAAGCAGATTATTCTTGGTCAAAATTTCTCTCTGCTAAAGGATTTATATATGAAAAATAAAAAAACACTGGCCTTTTTGTAATCCACATAGTTCAAAATTAACTCTTAGTTTCAAGGAATTCAAGAAATTATTTCTCATAAACATTAATATAAGGTTATTTGCTACACATTACCTACTATGGTTATATGCTACACACTACATACTATAGTTATATGCTACACATTACATACTATGATTATAGCGACAAAATCTGAATAAAACCAAAATACAGTTGCCACAAAACAAAAATATAGGAAATGTGAATAACACACTAATGCTTCAAACACAAAATTTAAAAGCATGTGCACATCCAACACAAAAAAATGGTCTAAGGAAGAAATTTTACACCACTTATATTGTGATGGAATGTGTCAAAATTACACAACATGGAAGTGGCGTGGAGATATGGATAAAAACCATGATGCGTCTAGGAAACCACGTGTAACCAAAACCTGAGAGTTCCAATACTCGGTGGACATTGTTAGAAAAGCCTTCGTCAGAACTTCATAAATAACAAGAACATGGTAACCTCCTTTTGACACATCAAAATTGGAAAATTTCATGTAATAGTGTAGCGGTAGAAATATTGAGACTAAGCCATTGAATTGACTTAACTCGCACAAATCAAATAAAAATCTCCACCACGCTTTATTGTTTCCAAAGGAGTGGGAAAAGAGCGAATAACCCAAACAGAGGGGGAGAGAATATAAGTTTAGGGGTTGGTTATGCAAAGGAAAGATATTAACACCCTAAACATCTAGTGTACTCCATAGGAACCTCTTTGAAAATTTGTGTATTTTGGCTATAACTATTGTATAAAAAATAGATTGTGGGGATGAGAAAAGAAATATATTTTTATAATTTTTGCATCTGCCGCGGTTGTGAACCTTTAGTGCCTACGTATCACCTTCCTTACAATAGGGAATCAGGGTACTCATAGTTCACCTTTAAAAATTTTAAAACACAAATGTGTTGGTTGATTTTTAGAGATGAGACATCATCTTCGTATCCGAGTGGAAGAACATACTTACTATCCACGATTATGAGAAAGGAGAATTTGCGTCATCTCAAAGTGGAGGATATGGATTGGATTTTAAAATCAACAAAGTCTCTCTCAATACCCAAGTGGAAAATATCTCACTTCACTACATATCATAGAAGTATAGTAGCTTGCATCACTACAAGGATTGACAAGAGTCTAATCTTTTTGAGCAAAAGTTTTAAAGATAAAAAGGCAAAATGGTTTGAATGAGATTGATTGACTTTTAGTCTTCTCACAAAAATGTCAAGGTATCATTAAGTTGGTTAAAGTTTGATTAAGAAAATATTTTGAAAAATACATGGACCTAAGTCCAAGTTTATTTTGAAAGCGATTCAAGTTTAGAAAACAAGAATAGTTTTGAAAAAGAAGGAGAAGATTTTTGAAATTAAAGAAGATGAGAGGAGATGAAGGGATTATCCTAAAGCATAAGATAAAATGCTAGGGAAAAGAGCCGTCTAACCAACAAGAAGCCAACACTTGACACAATGAGTCAATATAGAATTCTCATCCTTTAAATTGAAATCAACAAGCAAAGATGATAAAACCTCTTAAGAAAACCAAGCTTCAAAGGCATTAAGTCTTCACAAAAATTGGGCAGAGTAACAACTGTATACAGATGAGTTCTCAATCATAGACAAAGCACGTAATCAGAATAACCTGCACACAAGAGTCTCAAGGTAGGTCAAGGTCTCTAATCCTAAGTCCAATAAGTCCCTAACTACATCATGCCAAGGATAGTAACTAAATAGTCCAAGTAATATTAAAGCTTTTTATTGTTCAACTTGGTTATTAGGCATCTTCAAAAAGAAAATGAAAAGTTCAATTGGGAAAAATAAAAAGACATAAAGATAAATGCTCAAGTGAGAAAAGATGAAAATAGCATGAAATGTAAATGCTAAGATAAGTGGTGCTTAAAGTAAAAGCATAAATTAAAAGCATAAAAATAAAAGTCAATTGTTAATGGGTTAGAAATTAGAGATTAGTTGAATGACCATCTTGAATCTTGCATTTGAAAACTCATTAGAAGATTGATAAAATTAAAGTCTCTCAATAACAAATTTCATTTGCTTTTTGCAAAGTATATCATTCATTTCAAATTCTCAAGGTAACAATAAATGATCAACGATGTTTAAATGATTTACTTAGACCAAATCTTATGAAGATTCATTAGAGGATTGATAAAACCAAAGTCTCCTAAAAATGAACCTCAAGGTTATTGGATCGAAGATTTTAAATTAAAGATACTTGGGCTTGCAAACATAGGTTTGTGCCACAAATGATCATTTCTCGAATCTGGAAAAATTTAGCATTATGTTAAGCAATCGTAAGTGGACTTATATAGAAGTCGCACCTATTTTTGAGACTGATCAATAACAATCTATATGCCATATGTTTGGAGTGATGATATGTAAATCGTCCTCTAACAACATGTAACACGAAAGAGAAGAGGATGAGATGAAGAGGTAGGGGATATATTTGAATAAAAAATTTAATCAAACTATCATTAAAATCATTTATCCATTTTAGTGGAGTTAAACTCAATACTCAAGATCCAATGATGTTAATGAAGTTCATGATTAACAAACACATAGTCAGAATATATTAAAAAAATAAATTGTATTTAATGAATAAAATTTAAAAAAGAAAAATGACTTTTAAATTGTTTTTAAAATGAAAATAAAAGGTAAAATATCAAATTATATTCAAAGTATTAAAGAAAAATTAAAAGAGACCATAGAAAAATCAGAAATGACCTCAGATATTTATATAAATTTTTTTGGTGATTTTTTTAAAATAGAAAAGTATTTTAAAACTAATTAAAATCACTCAAATAAGTGGAGAAAAACATCAAAAATAATAGAAGTCAAGATAAAATTCTAGAAAAATTTCAGAAAGGAGTGAAATGATTTTTATAGATTTTTTCAAAATTTAAAAACATCAAAAGTATTTTTAAATAATTAAAATCAAGTTTAAATAAAGGAGAAATTATAAAAAATATCAAATATGAAAATAAAATTATGAAAAAATAAAAATCAGGAAGATAATATTTAAAAATATTTTTTTGAATTTTTTTCATAATTTTTGAGTCAAAAATGGATTTTCTATACTTATTTGAAGTTTTAAACAAATAATTATATAAAAAAATATGAAAATAAAATAAAGCCAAAAAAATATGGACCACTGGATCATTGTCAAAATGTGTTAGTAAGCAGATCTAGGGGATTTGACACACTGTGCATGATGTGGTCACTATTGGAAATCACACCAAATCAATTATTAAATCAGATTTTAATAAAATAAAAGGAAAAAATATGGTCCATTGGATGAAAAGTCAAAACGCATTATTAAACAAATCCAAAGAACCTAGCACGCTGTGCATATCAAGGACCCGCAGCCAGAACACGGTGAATCAAAAAACAAGTAACCAATGAAAATAAAACAAATGTCTAACATTCATTGGTTGAAGAACGATACGTAGGTCGTCTTCAACCTTCGGACACCCTGCGCGTGGGATTTTCTGATATTCTTCAAACAGAAATGTTAGAAGCTCATACTAATATCATTGGATTCGTCTCTTCCAGCCGATCCTAACCTCACCCTCGCGAAAAATTTATATAAACCAAGCAGAGAGAAAAATGAAGAAAACCAAAAATAATAGCAAGCACTTTAGGTTAGGATTTCGCACTCAATTCTCAATGATTTTAAAAATTTTAAGAAGCACAAGGATCAGAAAGAGGAATAGAGTAGAATA